GCCGCCGTCCAGGCTGCAGACGCTGCGCAGCACCTCGTAGTAGGGGATGTGGCAGACCAGGCGCGCTTTCAGGAACGACGTCCACTTGCGCTGCAGGATCTTCTTCCCGCCCAGGTCGCTCTGCAAGCGCCAGGAGGGGACGCTGGCCTGTGGCCGAGCTGCTCCCCCGTCCCCTTCCCGCCCTACAGCAGCTGAGGCGAGAGCTGGAGGCCGGGTTTAACCGGAGCAGGAGGGATGTAACGAGCCATGCTGCGGTTTCCCCGCTYGGCCTCTGCCTCAGTGTCCCCTGAGGTGCCAACACGGAGCGCCCGGCGCGTCGCTCTGTCGCTACCTTGCACACCCGGGCCACCCGGGCCACGCGGGCCGCCTGGCTCTGGTCGAAGAAGGACGTGGTCTCCTCGCCGGCCCGCTCCGTGAAGAAATAGTAGATCTTGTCRTCGTCCCCCACGGGGCTGTCCTGGCTCTCGCGGACCAGCACCGAGGCCACGAACTCGGCGTCTGCGGGAGCCGAGACGGGGCTTGGAGACRTGCCCTGGGATCCGTGCCCAGGTCCCTCCCAAGGTGCCAGGCCGTGTCCTACCCCCCAGGCTGGGCCCGCGATAGGGATGGGCATGGGGACGGGGATGGGGATGGCTCACCCACCGTTCAACCAGTGCAGCGGGGACTCCTCGGTCTTCAGCGGCCGCTGGTGCAGGTTCCTCCTGATGTCGGGGAGGCTCCGAAACTCGTAGCGCGTGGCCGTGTACAGGCCGCCGTCTGGCCGGGCAGAGCCGTGAGCTGCGGCTGGGCGAACGCAGCGGCGCCCGCCCGCCCCGGGAGCAGCAGCGGGAAAGAGCAGGACCGGGTCCCGATGGGAACGGGGAYGGGGACGGGGACAGGGTCGGCTGCACCCCAGGTGTCACCAGCGGCCCCGGGCGCTGCTTACCCACGATGAGGCCGGTGTAGCCGCGGGCAGGGTCGTACGGACACTTCTCCTTGCCTTCCTCAAAGCGGGATGGCAAYGTGAACCTGTCGGCGTCCTGCGGGGACAGGGGACCGCGTGAGCCACAGGGGCTGGCTCGGCCAGCAGGGGAACAGGGAGCCAGGAGAGGCAGGGCTGTCCAGGAGGTGGCAGGTTAGCGGGTTGGGTTCCACGGCCGCCCCGAGCGCCGGTGAGCTGGCCAGCCCTGTGCCCCGTCACCTGCCCTGCTCGGGAGGGACGCGGGCCACAGGCGGCTGAGTCACCGCAGCTGCCACATGGGAGTTAAAGTCCCACAGGTGACGGCACACGGCGTCCCTGCCACCCAGCTCGC